ATAAATCTTATTAAACTGATAGATATACTTCTTCATCCAATTGTGATTAGCGCAACGACGAGATATGATAGACTATTATAGAAAAAAGAGAAATTAAAAAAACTTAACTGATACAGGAGAAACATGTATCTTTATATTTCTTGAGAATAAGAAACCTTGAAAAAGAAAGAGTAATGTTACAGACCCCTGCTAGCCAGGTTACTAGCAGAAGCAGACTTATCAGGCAGAAAGATAATAACCAGGAAAGACTCAGGCAGCTAGCAACTCTTATTAAGTAAGATCCCGGTTAAGATAATATTTAAGACAACACTGTATCACGTGACCATCTATTATCAGATCTACTATTAAGAATATATAATATGATATACAGAATCCAGGAATATGATTAGATTGATTCTTGATCTACCCTGAATGATATATAAAATAGTATATAAAGAATAGGATATAAGGATACTTTTTTATATATTTAGCTAGTTCTGTTCTTCGTGCTTAATCTAATTATCTTTAAGTAACCATATGTTTTGGTAAAGCTTAGTGACAACACTTGTCCACACTTACTTACAGATAGCTGCGCGGTACTATCTGGCCCTATTTCTCTTCTTCTGTTCAGATCAAGTCATCTTTAGATAGTCAACAACCTGACTATTTTTGATTCAGTTCACAAGGTACGTATCGGAAACGGGAGCTAAGCTAACAGGAACAGGGAGAAGCGATCCTAGGGTTTGACAAAGGTGTCTGGTCACTCTTGCTAAATGATCTTCTCTTGGATCTCTATCTTGAGTTCTTTTTTAAATCATGAGATGTAAGTATTATTATCCTAGTCCAGGTGATTAATGACTTGTTAAAACTCTGAAGCGTACGCGGATACTGATCCTATCTACTTAAGTTATTATAACTTTTACTTAGTATTTTATACCGCGTTAATGTCTCTGAATATCTATTTAAGATATTGTTTAAATCTGGTGTAACTGGCGAAAAGTCATTTCGTATTATTGTTCTGGTTATTTACCGACTTTTCTTGTCACTCGTGGATATATGGTTTAAACTAATTAAATATTGCTCTAGTAAGGTAAGTAGACGTGAAAAAGATCTTATTCTCCTCATTCTTGAGCTTTTCCTTGTTTATGTTAAGGTACAAGTCTAACTAGGTCAAGAAAGCTCTGAGCCTTGCTTGTTTACTATCGAATGGCTCGGGTGGTCAGACCTTAATAGATTTAATTGATAAGCAATCTTCGAGTAACTGGTTCTTTTGTTTTAAGACAGTGACGCTTTCTTGTAGCTGACCAACCATGTCCATCAGTTCCTTGGTTGTCGGGCCCTGCTGCTGAGGCGCACGCGATGTGTTCGATATAGTCAATATGATGACTAGTTATCACTGGGTAACACTCGTACTGACTGGTGCTCAATGTATCAAATCCTAGGATTACTTCTCCCTGTTTCTGTTAGCTTAGCTCCCGTTCTGATATGTACCTTGTGAACTGAATCAAAGGTAGTCAGGTTAATAACTATCTAAAGATGACTTGATCTGAATAAGAGAAGAGAAGTAAGGCTAGATAGTGCCGCGCAGCTATCTGTAAGTAAGTGTAGACAAGTATTATCACTAAGCTTTACCAAAACATATGGTTACTTAAAGACAGTTATATTGAGCACGAAGAACAGAACTAGCTAAATATATAAAAGAATGTCCTTATATCCTATTCTCTGTATACCATTTCATATACCATTCAGGGTAGATCAAGGGTCGATCTAATCATGTTCCTGGATTCCGTATACTATATCATATATCCTCAATGGTAGATCTGATGGTAAATGGTCACGTGATACAGCGTTGCCTCGGGTGTTACCCCAACCAGGATCTTACTCAATAAGAGTTACTGGCTGCCCGAGTCCTTCCTGGTCGTTACCTTTCTGCCTGACGAGTCCGCTTCTGCTAGTAACCTGGCTAGCAGGGGTCTGTAACATCGACGCTTTCTGCCTGACGAGTCCGCTTCGCTAGTAACCTGACTAGCAGGGGTCTGTAACAAATATCTTCTGAGGTGTTGTATAAGAGTATTTATATAATTAAAGATTATAAAAGTCTCTTAGTATAGTAAGATTGAGAATTAGATAATAGAAATTACCTGTATTATATATTCAGATATTAGATTTACTTAGATTAGTTATCACTGCTATCCTATTAAAATTAATAATATTAAAATCTTACTTTTTATATACTATAATACTTACTTTAAGTATTTTTAATATTTTAAATAGTGGCTGATATATCCAGAGACTTCTTATTAATTTTTAATACAATAATTTAAAGTTAGGATTTAAATAGTAGCAGAATAAGATGCTATATTTAATAAATTAGCAGTATATATGTCTCCTGTTATTAGGCTTTTACAGTTACTGATATTTTATTTTTCTTAAATAATTATTTAACAATACACCTGTTACTGAGAAGAATCTTTTCTTCTAATTATCTTCTTTAATTATAAAGACTGCTTGAATAGTTAGTACTGAGGCTGCTAGATACTTTATATTAAGATTATTTTTAGTTATTATAGCTTCCTCGCAGTATTTGTAAAATCTTATATTAATAAATATATTTCATTTAGTTAATAATAATATTACTTATATAAGTACTGTTTATATTAGTAGTTCAGCTTCCAAGTTACTCAGTAAGATATAGTTAGCTATAAAGGAGAATATTTTATATTTTATTTTTTATACAGTAATAAAATTATTTATAAAGCTGTTAATATACTATATAATTATTAAATAGTTACTTCTAGATTTAGAGATAAGGGCTATACAGATATTAATTATCTTAACAGGACCTTTACTAAAAGTAGTTTTAATAATAGTATTATATATATTATTTATAAATTTTTTTTTCTCCAGCTCTGACAAAGTGCTTACTAATATTCTTAAATAATTACTTTAATAATTAAATATATATTATACTAGACAGTCTATTTTAAAGATTATATAAGAAGTTATTTTACTCCAGTCTGGACAGCTTACTTTAAATAAATTAGTATAATAATAATAATTATAATATTATTGTCAAACCCTAGGATCGCTTCTCCCTGTTCCTGTTAGCTTAGCTCCCGTTCCGATACGTACCTTGTGAACTGAATCAAAGGTAGTCAGGTTGTTGACTATCTAAAGGTGACTTGATCTGAACAGAAGAAGAGAAGTAAGGCCAGATAGTGCCGCGCAGCTATCCGTAAGTAAGTGCGGACGAGTGTTGTCGCTAAGCTCTACCAAAACGTAGGTTACTTAAAGACAGTGTTATTGAGCACGAAGAACAGAACTAGCTAAGTACATGAAAGAGTGTCCTTATATCCTATCCTCTGTATACCATTTCGTATACCATTCAGGGTAGATCGAGGGTCGATCCAATCACGTTCCTGGATTCCGTATACCATATCGTATACCCTCGATGGTAGATCTGATGGTAGATGGTCACGTGACACAGTGTTGCCTCGGGTGTTACCCCAACCGGGATCTTACTCAATAAGAGTTGCTGGCTGCCCGAGTCCTTCCTGGTCGTTACCTTTCTGCCTGACGAGTCCGCTTCTGCTAGTAACCTGGCTAGCAGGGGTCTGTAACAATTATTTCCACCTAAAAATACCACTATTTAAAATTTTTATACTTATTAAGGAGTTTTGAGACTCTCTGAAATAATTTATATAGCTTTTTTAATAAGTTATCTATCTGGCTTTATGAATTTATATTTACTTTAATATTAAAAAAATACTTAACATTGATAGTTTTATTTTCTATTTAAATAGCTAATTTAGTTTTTTCAGCTACCGCGGTATTGTAAGTTATAAAAATTATTTTAATATATCTTTCTATTCATTCGGAGGTAGAGAAAATAATATAATAATAATTATTACATATAAAAACTTAGTAATTATTTCTATCAGGGTTCAGAGAGACTTAGCAAGGCTTAATTTAGTAAATACAAGTTACTAATATCACGCACAGGAAAGAATAGGATAGTTATCCTAATAAGCTTGTTAATAAAGTAATTAAGTAATTCTTATCAATGATATCACTAGTCTAGAAAACTTATAATCTATTGGAATGGCTACTGAAGCGATACAACGTGGATTTAATAAGAATAAATAAATTAGATAACTATCTAAAGCATCATTATTAACAGCCTCTATATAGGCAGAGTAGTGGTATGGAAAAAGGGGCATTACGTGACTGTAGTTGCCAATCATACTCCGGAGGACCGGCGGTCTTCCGACAGTAACCACATCCTTCGAGTTGGCAAAGACATGGCCTAATCCAGGCCCGAAGTGGAACATTTTATGCATGCTACGTGAGAAGGCGCAAGACATTCGAAATGCGTGTTTAGATGTGGCTGGAGGGATGAAATGGGATTATTACCTGAGGCGGTGATAGAAGATGGATTCGCGGGATTCTTTACCGATGAGATGATGTCTGGCTCTTGGTTAGATGAAATATTCGGACCTTGTTGAATGAATTATTGGGAGTAAAGGTTTGAGTTAATTAGACAGGATACTCTTTGACCTGATGGAGTCGCTGATTTGCGTGTTATATCTATATTAGGCAATACATCAAGCCTGCGTCTTTTTGATATCCGAATTTAGATCTAACTGAAAGTAGCATATATGATATGAATTATTCAAGAACCTGTATAAGCAATCATGTTTACAATATATAATTACTGGGAAGAATACTTTCAGATTGTTGATCTTAACTACTAAAGCTGTCTCTATCTCAGAGTCGCTCACATAAAGTCTAGTATATATGGATATAGATTTCAAAGCCTAGTTATGTCGAATCTGTGTAGGGCCGCCGTTATACCGTTGCAGGTATGAGGAGTAAGATGTGTTGGGGTTTATCTGTCTACCCCTCCCTTTTCAGTTATTGCTGTGACGTGGGATAAGTTTTTTTGGTGTACTTGGGAGTTTCTGTTAAGATGTGTCTAATGAATATGGGTTGATGTGAGTGATGAGTGAGAGGGGATTATACACCAGGTATCTACCTTACTATCTATCTATCTATCTACATCAAGACTATCATACATATGTACAGTAGAGTGGAGAGTAGTGGAGTGGACAGGGGAAAATAATATACAGCCAGCCCATCATACCCATCTACTTCTTCTCCCCTTCAATATCCAACCAAGGATCGTCAACCAACTCTTTCGCCGTCCCTCGCTCCTCAGGCATCCACTTTAGCATTTTCCTCGCAAACACAAGAAACTTACTTTTCTCTTCGCCTTCAAGACAAGTAATCGTATCTTCAAGCGTCTGATCTTTGGGAATGAGATTCTCGTGCAGGAATTTCCCTATTATATTCACATATTACGTACCCATCAGTATTGTATTAGGGCTGGAGATGAAGCTCGGGTATGGTAGCTCACCATCATCATCGAAAAATGGCCCGTCAAACCAATCTTCCACTGACTTGACAAGCTTCCCGTGGGGACTCTGCACCGCGGGGCTCCATTTCCAATGACGGTGTTCTCTCGACCGCACTAGTAGCTCCTGCGGCGGGGGACCTAGAAAGGCGATCATTTGGGCGAGGTGTGCGTCTGGGTGGTTTTTCAGGGTGGAGTCGCGGGCTTGGGTGAAGAGGGTGCGGTTTTCGAGGAGTTCCCATATCTGGATTATTCGTTAGTTAAGAGTGGGTATTGGGGGTGGGGGATGGGGAGGGGAGGGGAGGGAAACCATCACGCCGAGATTCCAGATGTCGGCGCTGTAGGTGTATCCGGCGCCGAGAATGACCTCTGGTGCGCGGTAGCAGTCTGGTTGGATGGGAAGGATGCATGGAGTGGATTGGTCTTGCTTATGTACAGCGGCACCGAAATCCGAGAGGGTGGGGATGGTTTCGTAGGACTGAAGGGGACCGAAGTCATCGTGAGAGCGGTAGATGGGGTGGTCGTCGAGGGTTTTGAGGGAGATGGGTCGGGATGGAGTGATTTGGGCGAAGGAGTGAATGACGGAGGGGTTTTCAAAGGATACGAGGATGTTGTCTGCTTTGAGGTCTGGAACAAAATTAGGACAAGCAAAGCAGCTGGGTGAGGAGGGGACGAACCGGTGTGGATGATGTTGCATTCGGAGTGGAGGTAGTCCAGGCCCATCAGGAGGATCTTCATGTATGCTTTGAGGATGCTGAGGGGAAAGACCTCGTTACGGAAGCGCTTCTGTAATATCCAGAGGGGTTCTCGCATGGGCTCGTAGGCCAGACAGACATGTGTTCCGTAGGGGCTTCTCTCTTCGAACGATTCGATAAAGGTCCTTGTCACGTCGTGGCCGAAATGGTTGGGATTGGAGTCACGGATGTGTCGTTCGAGATTGGATTCCTGGCGAGCCTCGTCCACGGTGCGGTAGTTACAACATCCAACCTTCAAGGTCAGGTAGCGCTCCGATTGCCATGGCCAACTGATAGTAGTATGGTGATTAGCGCAGGAGTGGAGAGGATGGTGGAGCCTACCGTTGAAGATCTCGGACGAGCCAGATGGTGGAGGTGGTGCCCCAGCCGAGCTTGGCCAATGCCTCGTATCGGTCATGGAAGACATAGCCAGGGGTGACGGGGAAATACGACTTGGGTCTGAAGCCGGGGATCCTCTCTTCCTCGATTCGGGGTTCGAGAGGGAGCTGGACAGCAGATGGGAAACTGAAGGGCGATCGGCGGGCCCAGTGGGACCATGGCCGGAGCGATGGAAGGATTCGCCTGGCCATGACTAGTGGATGAGGGGATACTAGTATCTACCTAGTAGGTAAACAGAAAGGAGATGGGGAGGTGAAACCTGCGCGATGAATGCGCGACCCCCCCCCTGCTCCGGCTTAGGTAAGCGTGCAGCTGCATCGCCATCGCTTCTCTCCGCTTCTTATTCGGAGATGCCAGGAAGGGGGAAATGAATCAGGAGACCGTTTTATTCGCGTCATAGGAGCAAAGTTGGAGGGCTTTCAAGTCACTTTGATTCCATCAGCATGCGGCCATCTGGATCCTTGAAGACACATTTGATACCCTTAGCATCGCCGTTGGGGTGATCAACCGAGCCTCCACCAGGGCAATAATGTGCTTGCTTATTTGAGGTCAAATTCGGACATTTTAATTTGGCATATCTATGTGAGGAGGGGTCAAATATAGTGGTAATATAGTGCATCGGACGGACCGGCCCGCCCAGAGTATACCAAACTCTTCCCCAGGAGAATTGCGTGTACGTCCAGCTGAATAATAGCAATTGATATGGTCCATCATGAATAGATACATGATTGGCCACCGTCCCAAGTCTAGTTTGCCCAAGCAAACACTTTCTCGATGCTCTTCGCCCCCCACCACATGCTGGGGGATTGAACATCCCCCGCTGCAGCCTCCTTTTGCACTCTCTGACCTTGGTCTCGTCTTGAGCACTCATCATGGCTTGGCGTAGCTTCATAGTATACTATCTACCCGGGTGGATAGGCACGCTTTAAGCAATCATTGAGATATCCTTTCAGCTCACCGTGACAACGTGGTATATTTACCCTGCTTGGGAAGTCCTTACTCTCCAATCTCTCCGCAACAACTATGCTAGCCTGAAGCAAAAGTTTGGTACTTTACAGGCCTTGGTTCTTCTGCTTATGCTCCCTAACGCCACGCAAATCGTGGATCGAGTGGAAAAGCATGTGCTCAGTGCCAAATCAGATGAGGCGATCGTGCTACGAAAGTCAACGACAGAAGATTGCACAATGCTGGCGGTTGCTGTACGCTGACAATTATAACATGGAAGATTGGAGACAGTTCTAACAAGTCCACAGGCCGCTATTGTGGCGCAAGTTGCCATTTCAGCCCTAGTACTGGAAGACCTTGACAAAGTTCATTGGACGGTAGAAGCAGCATTCAGCCTTAGCTTGACAGCTGGCGGACTTTCAGTTTTTTATGCCTGTCTGATTCAACAAAGATTGAACAGCTGTCTGACCACTGATGATGTCAAGGACTTTTTCAGTAGGGTCAGCACTTCGGCGCGACTTCGAGAGTTCGAGCAAGCTCTAGATGATATGGCTTCCCAAATGCGGAAAATGGATGTCGGTGATGAAATGACCTCGGTACACGAAAAGGTGACACGACTGGAGTCAATGATCAAAGACTTCAAGAGTGCGAACAGATGGAAGTCCGTATCCTTTCTTTCTATACTCATGGTGAAAGCTCCGACCCTTCTGATGAAATATGCACTGGGATCTTTCATCGTAGGACTTGGCATCTCCTTTGGATGTTTAGCGTTCAGCGACGTCGGCTCCCAGAAGCCTCAAGGACGATACCTCGCACTCTTTACTGTCTACATTGTGACCAGCTGCCTGGGCCTGTTTATCTATTACGTGCCATCCATTCTTAAGGACCTGGAGTTGTCTACAGCACGTCGCCACACACGATTTATCCGCAGCAAAATTCCCAGAGAACATTTGCAGAATGAGACGCAAGTTCTTGAAAGTATCAGTGCTCTACGGAGTTCAGACCAGCAGGAAACCTATGGTGAACGTCAATCTAACGAGGTAAAATCTTGCGCAGAAGGACTTCAGAACACGGATGGAAGTCAACCCAAATCCTCCGATTGAACGGCCCAAGGAGATCTCTGAAGAGACGGCTGTGACCCAATCAATCTCGCTCGTGAAGAATGAAGAAACATCAGCTCATGGATAAACGAATCGATAGGTATAACGGTGAGTATAGTATCGGACCCTCCAAGATTGCCTGGATCTTCGAATCTGATTTGAGATAGGTTCGGTATCACTTTTCATAGAGCCACCGGGGTGGTCAATCATCAAAGCGATCTGGTGGGAGGATTAAGAGGAATTTGCCCACATTTTCAGTTATCTGAGCCTGCGGACTCCGGCATCAGCTCCTCTAGTAAGCACATAACCTTGTGCATCTCAGTATATATTATCATTAGAAGAATGCATCTCAAGGACTGGGCAGTAGAAGGTGTCGTTATTCTCAGTCTTGATTTCATGATATTTCTTATAGCCCGGATGAAATCTTTATTCATCTTTATCAAAGTAACAGGTTTCACTTGAATGAAATGCGCGAGCTGAGCTTCAAGTATGTTTCTTTGGGTGTGGATCTCCTCCACTGACTTGAGATACTAAGTCTTTCTGGGGGCACATCAGAGAACCACTCGGAACTGCCACAGCTTGCGGCGTAGCAACAGGCAAGTGCATGCAGATAGTTGATCATGTTGAGATCTTTCAACTCGGTCGATCCATATATCATGACGGACTCTGGGCGCATTGACCTGGATCTACCAAATGTAGTAACAATGGAAGAGTACAGTGGAGACATGAAAGTCTTTTTAACGAAACCGGAACTACCCTTGAGTCCTATAGGCCGCCATGGCAGGACAGATCCCGAAATGATGGTAATGCAAGTGATGCAATTTGAGGGATGAGGAGTGTTCTATGTTTAAGAATGAATCTATGGCGGCCCACAGCAACCGACGACCCCACGCCAAACCCCCGTGGCCGAACTAGCAACAGCTTGCTTTGTCTGCTCCCACCGGTCAGAGTGCGACTTGCAGAGAGGGGCCTGGGAATGGAGCGATGGGGGCAGTGTAAGCAGCAGCCTTGCGCTAGTGCTTATCCTCGGTCGACGCTAGAGATGGGCTAAAGTCGATCAACCGGGGTATAAAGTCATTGACCCCGCCTGAGCCTGCTCACAACTCCTCCTTCCTGGACGCTCTGCTTTCACCCGTAATTTCTTCTCCCAAGTCAAGGCATCAATGACATTCACGACACTTCCAATTCCCGGGGTCAAGCATAGTCAGCGGATTCTCACCTCGGTCATCGAGGCCCGTGCCAATGACAACAGCGAGCCCTGGGTCTCCGTGCCAGTCGACGACCAGGATCTGTCCCAAGGGTATCGCGACATTGGGTTCAAAGAACTGAACAATGCGGCCAATCATGCGGCCCACTGGTTGAAAGAGAATCTCCCGGAGACGATCGAGCCATTCCAATGTTTCGCTTATGCTGGACCCAAAGATCTTCGCTATCAGATCCTGGCCGTGGCGGCGGCAAAGCTGCAGAAAGTGGTACGTAGCAGCATAGACAGACCCATCGGTATCACAACCCTAACTCTGTCTAGATGGTTCTCCCCTCTCCACTGGTCACGGCAGAGGCGCAGCTGCGAATCCTTGAGAAGAAAGGATGTACAGTCTACCTGAGACCAATGTCCATGGCAACTGCAGTGAAAGCAATTCTGCGAGATGCCCCCCACATCCAAACCATCACGGTACCCGACACCGAGGCGTTCATGCAAGAGGCCGAAGCAGTACCCATCAACTACAGCAAGACCTGGGAAGAAGGCAAAGCCGATCCGTGGCTGGTGTTTCACACCTCTGGCACAACAGGTCCGTCTCCCACCATTCTCTCACCAGCATACTGACTCCACAGGCAACCCCAAACCCGTCACCTACACCCACGAGATGATGGCCGGGGCTGACGTGGTGGCCTCCCTCCCTGACGCCGGCGAGACTCAAATCCACCACTACGCCCAACAGCGATGCTACACCCCTCTCCCCTCACTCCACGTGCGTCCTCCCACCCTCCATCCTCATTCAACACACTTACCAAACCATCCAGTTCGTCGGCATGGCTCTCTCCCTCTCCATGACCACCTTCATCCACATGACCGCCGTCCTCGGGCCCTCCAGCCCCCCAACCCCAACCCTCATCCCCTCCATCCTCCACCACGGCCGAGCCACCGTCGCCATGCTGCCCCCAGCCCTCATCGACGCCCTCTGCCTCACCCCATCCGGCCTCCAATCCCTCCGCAGCCTCAAATACCTCCACTTCGCCGGCGCCCCTCTCTCCGCAGAAACCGCCTCTCTCCTCCTCCCTCACGTCCCCGTTATCCCCGGCGTCGGCAGCACCGAAGCCGGCGGCTACTTCACGGCCATCCATCCCCACCGCACCGACGCATGGGACTACCTCTCCTTCCAGAGCAAACACACGGGTGTAGAATTTGAGCCCCGTCCCAACAACCTCCACGAGTTGGTCTTCATCCGTCGTCCCTCTTGCGCCCTGCAGCCCATCTTCCTCCTCTACCCGGACCTCGACCGCTTCGAAACCAAGGACCTCTGGCAAGAACATCCCATCCACAAAGGCCTATGGAAAATCATCGGTCGAACAGACGATTACATCTACCTTTCCCATGGAGACGGATTAAACGCCTCCCTCCTGGAACCTGAAATCACCGCCCACCCGGCTGTAAAATCCGCCTTGATAGGAGGCCACGGCCATCCGGCACCGGTTCTCCTAATCGAGCTCCTCCCCACCGCCGACGAGACACTCAAAAACGATCACGAAAAGCTGGTTGAATCCCTAACACCATACATCGACAAAATCAACACCCGATGCCACGAATGCGTGCGTCTCTCCCCAGAACGAATCATCCTCGCGACGGAAGCCAAACCATTCATCCTCACCATAAAGGGGAGTATTGCCCGTCCGCAGACTCTATCTCTCTACGAGGAGGAAATTGCTTCGTTGTTTAAGGAGTCTAAATATTATCGATAGAGATTATATTGACGGGAGTGAATCTAAATATATAGACACGTGCCATCCATCCATCCATTAATTTACTCATTCACTTGGTACCTCATTCCGAATACGAGGAAGGGATTACAACAAAAGACTCTACTATCAATATCCCTTCCCATCGCATCCCATCCGTCGTCGATTCTATACCGACAAAAAGAAAAAGAGAGAGAGATACCTCTTCCCGACTCAGAAACAACTCCGAACCTCCATCCACGGTTTCTACATACTAGTAAATGAAATAAATATACATGGGAAGCAATTGTTCCAATATTCCATTATTCATCTTATTATTCTACTTTTCCTGGTCACTCATCCACTCACTCACTCCTGCCTGGGTTCGGTTCAGTTGGGGGGGAGGGGTTTACCTAGTTTCCATCTTTTGAATCAAAACGAGGGTTTCTTTGGAGGAAATGGGGAGGGGGAAGGTGTGTTAGTGGCCCTTACATGAGTACAACATAATAAGTTACGTTACTTACCTACTTACTTCATAAACAGCAACCCAACAAGTAACTCACAAAAGCTACCCAAGGGAATCAAACCCAAACCTAAGGACATATCTAGATGTTTCCCAAGAGTAATGGGGAAGAATGTATGGACTGTTCTGAAGGTAATAATTCCAACATATTTACTCCTTAGATCTCCAAACTATGTACCTATTGTATACCTAGACCCATTTACTCCCATCCATCGGCCGTTATTTTGTGCATCTCATCCACCTACCAACCCACCCATCTACATTCTTCGCCATATACATACATGCATACAGGGGTATCAAACCGAAACCAGACCAAACGCCAAACGCTCCCGGAATTATTCCACAATGCGTACCCGCACGCCATCCATCCCCATTGTCGAAGTCAACTGGTCCATCCAGTCTGTCGTGGGCCCTTGTTTGTAATTCGGGGTGATGAGTGACTCGACCACGAGCTGGGGCTGGCCTGGCGAGCTGGGCGGAGTCATGGGTGAATCGTACGACGGGGTAGGACTGGCACTTTCCGCCGGGGACGGCGATGGCGGGGAGGATAACCGACGGGGCTCTCTCGGGAGGGTTGTGGAGCGCTGACTCGGGTCGAGCATGACGACCAGGTAATCGAGGATCAGTAGGGCGGAGTGCACGCCGCGCGTGACATGGGCTGAGTAGCCCTCGAAGAAGAATTCGGGGAGGGGGCCGATGAAGCCCCGCGGTTTGGCATGGCCGGCTCGTAGCATGGATATGGAGACGCCGAATTCGGTGTGGATGCCGCGGAGGGCGGCACGGGTGGCCTGCACGCTCTGGAGAAGCGGGGGCTCGAGTTTGGCGCGTTTGGCCAAGGGAAGGGCGATCAGTTCGCGGATGCGTTTGACGTAGCCCGGGATCTTGATGATTTCGCGTAGACCTCGGTCGACTACGTCTGTATATAGGGAAGAGTCTGGGAGTTTGGCATTGTCGTTGGAGATTTGCTCGTTGAGGGAATGCCATTCGGGTTCTTCGAGGAAGCAGGCTTCGCCTTCGATGAGGGCGGCAGCGATAAGGATCGGGCGGTAGACAATGTACATGGCGCGACCGAAGCCATGGAGATGAGCTTTGGGGCCGCGGAGTTTTAGCAGTGCGCGAATGCCGTGAGCATGGTGAATCCATGCCTGGGGACCGGTGCAGTGGTGTTTCTCGAAGACGGCGAGCACGATGGCGGTGGAGAGGGCTTCGTCGGATTTGGCGGTCGACTCGTCGGCAAGGAGCCCGGCGAGGCCGCGTAAAGAACGGGTGTAGAAGGCGCGCGCAGCGTCGTGAAATTCAGGGACATTGTAGAGGGCGCCAGAGTAGGCGAGGGTGCAGGCGCGGATGGCCCAGTCGAAGCACGAGTTCATCGCACCACGACGGCGGTCGACATATTCGACCCAGTTGACAGGCACACGGGTTTCGGTACATTTGAAGAAGCAAGGGAAGGCAGTGAGGACGTAGTTGGTGAAGACTTGGGTCTGCTGGGCGGCGACCGCCGTGACGGTCAGCGAAGGCGAGACCGACTCGTCCATAGGGAGCGGCAGCGGCAGCGGCAGCGGCACAGGGGCGAATTGCACGTCGCGCCCGCGGGCCGGGCCTGAGCGGGGGGTAGAGGGAAGGGAAGGACTGCTATTAGTTGCGGTGGATGCAGTGGAGTTGGACGAGGTGGAGGTGGAGGTGGACGAAGGGGGCGAGGCACGGTAGCGTTGTTGCAGCGCTGGCACTTCGTTGCGGAACTTGAAGGTGCGAGCCTGAGTCAGGCAGGGCACATTGCGGCCTTTGCAGTGGCCACAGGGGGATTTGCCGTCACACTAAATAGAAAGAAAGTAATGCAGATGGTTAGCTGGGTAGGGTAGCAGGCAGCGGATGGTCGGACAATTAAATCCAATCCGGTGGGCGAGCGAGGCAAGGGTTGCGAGTTGGCAGAGGCACAAGTCCAACACTCAACAAAGAACGCCTCGGAGTGACAGGATTCAGGGGGGGAAATCATTAACGCCATGGGCGGGCGGGCCGGTTCTTGGGCAACAAGCAGCTGACAATGAAGCCATCATCACGCACCTGAAGATGACCCTCAGCGCAGGCCTGACAGCCGCGTGGCACTCGGACCATGCTGGGTACTGCAGCCAGTGAGTTCGACAGCCACAGCCAGACCGATCGGATCTGGCAGGGAAGGCATTAGGGGAGAAGATGTGCAGTGAGGAGGAAGTCAGGGAGTGATGTGATGTGAGGGGAGGGAGGGAGGGGAGGGAGAATGAATGAATGAAGAATAATGAATGGAGGATGAATGGATGGATGGATGGATTGGTGGAGCAGCACCATCGAGGCTGGCCAGGCGGGAGGTCCACCGGATTGCATTGGATTGGATTGGGGAATAATACCAAGTAGGTAGTAGTAGTAATCCTAATCCCAATCCTCAGTGGGAATCCTCGAGTTTGTCCGGCCCAGCCCCAGCGTGAGATGAAGACAAGTCATTGGCCCGCTGGCTGTCCGGATCGACATTCGGGAGGCGATCAGTCCGTCAGGCCCCCGCCCGCTGGCCTGAGCTGGCCTGAGCTGACCCTCCTTTCATCTGGCCCGGTTTCTGCTCGCTGCCACTATCGATCCAGACTGGCTCGGAATAGATACACAGTAGATACTATGTAGATATAGCTCTGGACCCAACATGTGGCCTTGAACTTTGTTGACCGGGTGCAGAAACCGTCCCTGACGCTGGACCAGATGATTGGCGGGCCAACTGCCGTGGGAGATGGAGATGCTCAACTCCACCAAACCATTGCAGCTTAATCTCGCTGCTTCTGCTGCTGCTGCACCGCGCCCAATCTAGTCCGGCCAACGGGTGATGCCCGCTGCCACTGGAAGCATCCGTCACGGGCGGGTGGGTGCGTCGCCGCTGCTGCACCTGCAAATCCCTCATCGTCCATGCGCAATCTCCGTCCTCGGACCCGACCCTTCAGGAGGGCTACCTAGGTACCTATTGCTGGAGGGAACCTTGTAAAGAGTGGAACCTGGACACCAGGGGCAGACTGCATGGACAAATGGATCAGACACCAAAAACAGCAGCTCAATAACAACTACACTACTATATACATGATACACGCATCGTAGCCACCATTTGCCAGTCAAATTGCACTGCCGAGGCACCCGACCCTCCTGATTCTTTGTACATATTCAGGGCACCTCAACAGCCACTCGTCCACTCAGTTCCCTCCTGATAAGCACAGCACATCCGACCCCCCCGGTATCCGCTAATGCCAGGCACCCCGGCGGGTCCCGAGCTGGCCGCTTTTTGGGATACGAGCAGTAATGGGAATCCTGAAGACACAGCCAGAAGAAAGAAAGAAAGAAAGAGAGAAAAGAAAAATAGTAAAAAAAGAAAAAGACAAGTAGATCAATCAAGCAACGACGAAAGGAGAAAAAGCAAAAGCTCAACAGTTAGCGCCAATTCACCGAGGGAGGGTCACATCCAAGTCCGCGCAGGGATGCGAAGAAGCAACCATGGCCTGTGCCCAGGCAGTAGTCGTCGATTTGGAGCCGATCTACACCAGTCCATCGTACAGCGACAGGGCGCTCACAATGGTCTCGTCCCGCTTGCTGCCCTCCTTGAACTCCTCCATGTCCAGGCTGCCGTTCTCGTCCTTGTCCATCATGCGGAAGATCTTGCGCACCCGCTTCTCCGGCGTATCTTCATCCTCGGGCAGTTTAACCATCGAGCCCACCTGCAGTCCAGCCCGTCAGCCGCCGTGGGGGCCAGAAACTCGAACGGGGGCTAAACATACCATCTTGTAGATCGCCTCGACGATCGCCAGCATTTCGTCATATGTGATCTTGCCGTCGCCGTCAATGTCATACAGTTGGAAGGCCCAGTCCAGCTTGTCCTCCATCTTGCCCCGCGACGTGACCGACAGCGCACAGATGAATTCCTTGAAGTCAATCATCCCGCTGTTATCCGAGTCGAACACCCGGAACACATAATTCGCAAACGACGACGGGTCACCAAACGGGAAGAACTGTCGGTAGATTTTCTGGAACTCCTCCTTGGTGAGGGTCCCCGATGGACAGTCCTTGAGGAAGCCTGCCCGCAACGTTCCGTCAGCGGCTGCTCCTGCCAGCTGCAGAGGGGCCCACCATGCCTCACGCACCTTTGTACCATTGCTGCAGTTCCTTCTTGTCGAAATGCGTCGCTTTCTGGAGCTCCTCCAGCTGCGAGGGGGAGAGCTTCGACTGTCTGGACCGCCGGTGAATTAGTTGGATGCCGACATGCGGGGCACACGAGGTCCGGGGTAACAGGGGAACTTCACAACACCAGGATACCTCGTTGTATCACGTCGCAGGCGGCCATTGTTCCCAGAGTGCGACCACCCATGGGTGACCCGTTGGGCCTGTTGGGTGGTTCCCCCTTGTGCCTGGCCAGACCCATGCGGAGCGATCGGAAAAGCGCTGCACTTACGACTTGCCCATGTTCAATCACACACGCTCCAAGCGCCCGGTTCTCTGAGTGGATATCGTCGGAGGGAGGAAAATCTCGGATTCAACGTGTCACGGTCGGGACGCGCGATGAAACAGACTCTCGGAAGGCGCGGGGTAGACCAGTTTGGTGATAGGCGGTGCGGCTTGGACGAGGGGCAGGCGGTCGCCGCTCGGAGGGTTCGGTCGGGTAGGATAGAGAGGCACCACTGGGGGGTGTTCGAAGCTTATCGAGGTCGAGAAAAGCAGCCAGGCACGAAGACCAGATCTTAGACAAACTGCAGGAAGGAAGAGTCGTGGCGATGGCGGAGGGACATGGATGGGAGAAGAGCCGCGGGTCCAGAACACGGCGGCTTGGCGGTTGGAGGCGTCAGCCGTGGGAGATCCACGGCTCGACCACTGCGTCCGCCAATCGCAGTCCCGCCCCGGCTGCGGCGGCCTCTTCTACGCTCTTCTACGTTGGCCTAGACTCATTGCATCGTACACTCATGCGCGTCCAGCATTCCTCTCCCCAACTCCGCCCATCCGAGTCTATGTACACCTCATGGCCCTTACAGAGAAGTGGTGGTAACAAGCAAGCATGCAAACAAAGGAACTATACAGGGATATCCGAATAAGCATCCAACCAATCGAATCAACCTACGGTCTTATATAGCGAAGCACAGCGATGCAGCAAACAGCGATGTCGGTCCACGACCGGGAGCGGGCCGCACCGCATGAGCAATCTCATGTCAATACGTAACGGCTTAGTCGACCTTGATGGAGCCGTAGATGCGGTGCACAAATGCCCAGCTGGCGAAGAAGCCAATGGAGCCTATTCAAGGGTTAGTGGTGAGTCCTGGGACCGTGGCAAGTACATACCGGTCAAGATGAAGACCACAAATCCGATCAGGGCCGAGTATCCCACATACAACACCGCACCGGTGAGACCACCAAAGCTGACCCGCGTGATCCAGAACAGAATGGCGTTGAGGAAGACATAGCTACCTGTCATGCCGGCGCCCGCAAACGCGCGCCAGTGCCAGCGATAGTTCTCCGCGCACAGCAGGAAATACACCAGCAGGACCGTCGTCGCGGCGGAGGTGATGACCATCAGGCCGTAGCAGAGGAACAGGAAACCGAACATGTAGTATATCTTGTTTGTCCACAGCGACGTCATGATGAAATACAGCTCCACGAAGATCGCTCCGAAGGGAAGGATACCGGTCAACAGCAGGGAGGGAACGGTGCGCAGTGTACCCGTCATCGGAGGGACCTGGCGGGGAATCTGGTTGGTCTTGGTGGGACCTTCAATGGCCTGCAAGCGGTTAGCAACCATCAGGAACGTGGTCATGAACTATCATGTACGTACGCTTTGTTTAAATCCCAGCCAGCTACCCGCAACACTCAGCGGCACACTGATCACGAACCAGATCAAGACCAGGGCCAGCATGGTGCCAAAGGGCACGGCTCCGCTGGATCCCTTGGCCCAGACGAACAGGTTGAGGAGGAAGAACACGCCAAAGATGAGGGCAGGGACCAGCACAGGTGTCATAATAATGTTGCGTTTCCAGGATTCGCCGCCTAGCGATTTGTAGACCCGAGCCGATACGTAGCCTCCGATGAAGCCAAACAGCGTGTAGATTAAGAGAATGGCCGTGGCTAGGAAGCCACGGTTCGCAGGGGAGAGGAGGCCAAGCAAAGCGAAGACTGCAGCTGTTAGCCTGGGAGCTTAGTATCATCTGCAAGCTGACCTACCAACAGTCACTCCCGTCATCATAAAGAGCTGAGCACCGTTACCGACGAGCACACTCAGCAGCAACGGAGACTTCGGAGACCGGAACACGTCTCCATGCACCAGCTTCCAGCCCGAGTCCTCCTGAATACCATCCTCCACCGCCGCGGATGTCCCGTCAAAGTCGTCCAGGTTGATCATGTCCAGGCGGTTGTACCGAGCAATATCCTTCTTGAGCGCTCTGACCAGAATCATGCTCACCATCGCAACCAAGAAGACCACAAACACGGCCGAGTTGATCAGCGAGAACCAATGGATCTTCGGGTCGTAGACATGCAGGTACTTGTCCCAGCGGGTGGCCCACGCGGTATCCGACTCCCGCCAGTACACGCTGTACGTCCAAGCCACCATGGTCTCGCCATCCTCGCTGAGGGTGACGCCGACACCGTCGCTGTCACACTGGGGAGTGCCATCCTCCAGAATGACGGAGTTGCGTCGGGACTCTGGCTGCACCAGAACACCGACAACCCGGTACTTGTCCTGGTTTCCGTAACCGACGCGGTGGTATTCGATCAGGATTTCAAAATGGTTGTTCAAAATCGGTTGTCCGTCATCGTTGATTGATCCGAGGGCGAAACCCGGGCTGTAGAACTTGGTCTGCGTCACCGCCTCCATGTTGATCTGCGCTCCGGGAAGACCATCAACCAGCCAGTTGATGTTGTATCCCTGTTCTATCCTCCGGTTGACGAACTTGGCACTGCGGGCATCAAACGAGACCTGACCACAGATGGACTTGCACGTCTCATTCTTGCCCATGTGCAGCTCGAACGGCGACGTCTGGATGCGGTCTCCGAATAGAATGCTTCCCAACGACTCTCGGACATCCTTGGGGCCCTCTTTCGGCGGGCAGAATCGGAAGGCCGGGTGGTAGTAGTCGTAGGAGAAGACGGAATGGAGCTGTTCATCCTGCTGCGCTAAGCCGGGCGTAAGGTGATTGACGTAGAGAGGCACAGATTGGCCTTCATCGTAGGAAGTCGGTGCGACACCGGGGAGGTAGAAAGCGGCGGAGAGAGAGGGAGCAGCGAGGAGGAGGGCGATGGGCGAGGATCGTTTGGTGAACCACATAGTGGGTGTCTCTGTTCCAGCGCGGTAATCGTTAGTTCCTGTCGGTCCCTCGCGGATGGAAGCCAAGCTCAGTGACCTACAGTCTATAGCTTCCACGCCACAGCGATCTTCAAGCTCGCATGAGATGGGTGGTCCGGAAGGTAACCACCTGCGCGAAAAGAGACCAGGAATATAAACACGGAATTGGACGGAAACCGGCTTTCGCTGGGGGAGGACGCCTTGTCCGGTTGCATTGAGGCCAGCTCGCGCCCTTGGCGCACGTGATACGGCCGTCTGACTAAGACTATCGCCACGTGCTGATAAGCACCTTACCGTAAAAATTTCCCTCTCGTTTGGCGCGATCACTCAACGACACACAGCACAGCACAGCACAGCACAATGGCCGCCGTTTCCCAGTCGGAGCCTTCGGGCTTGCAAAATATCTCCAATCTGCTCGAAACCCTTACGACATGTCTGACCAGCACCGGATCCTCGCTCCCTAAGACGAAACGGGAGGAGCCCTCGGATGTGTCGATTGAACCGCCGCAGGATGGCATTTCGCTGCTTGACACCAAGTCCGATCTCCTTCTCTCCTACATACAGAATCTGGTGTTTTTGGTTATATTCCAGCTGAGAGGTCTCAAGGCGACCGACGACGAAGATGCCGATACGAATGAGTCGCTCCCGGAGGATATTGTGAAGAAACTCGTCGACCTACGTGTCTACTTGGATCGTGGTGTTCGCCCATTGGAAGGACGTCTGAAGTACCAGGTCGACAAGGTCATCAAGGCAGCCGAGGATGCCGACCGGGCCGAGCGCGGAGCCCCGGCTCCCAAGAAGAGCAAGACTAAGAAGGCCGCCCGGGACGAGTCCGGCTCCGAGGGTAGCAGCGACAGCGAGGGTGACAGTGATGAGGAGGATGAGGACGATGATGAGGAAGATATTGACGAGATGGCGTACCGGCCCAACGTGTCTTCGTTCTCGAAGAAGGTCGAGCCTGAGGCCCGACAGGACAAGGCGTCCAGACAAGCACCAAGCGATGGCATCTACCGACCACCCAAGATTATGCCCACGTCCCTACCGACCACCGAGAGCCGGGAGCGCCGGGAGCGCGCGCCACGCCGGTCGAATGTTATTGATGAGTTCGTCAGCGCCGAGATGTCGTCCGCGCCCATGGCCGAGCCCAGTATCGGAAGCACAATTGTGCGCGGTGGACGACAAACGAAATCGAAGAAGGACCGAGAGCGTGAGGCCGAGCGGACGCGATATGAAGAAACCAACTTTGTGCGTCTGGCAAAGGAGAGCAAGAAGGATCGGGCCAAGCGACTCCGTGCCGAGGGACCGGGTAACACCTTTGGCGGAGAGGATTGGCAGGGACTTACGGAGGGCGCGGATCGGATCACGAAGCTTACGCGGAGGGCGCGGGGAAGCGGGAATGCATTGGATCGGAGTCGGAAGCGCAAGCTGGACGATGGACAGCGCGGTGATAGCGGTGGAGTGGGCCAGATTTTCGAGAAGCGGCGCAAGAAGGTGGACAGCTGGAAGCGGTGATTCCGATATTTCTTTGAGCATTGTTCGATACCAGAAAAGTTATCTACTCTTGTTACCAATACCAGCACGGCCCTAACCCCTGGCCAGTGGCCAGGATGACGGAGGCAGCCGGTTTCATCAACCATGACATCATCACCATGCTGCACCTGGCCTGTAATATGTACCCTCATCTACCCTCAATTCCACTCGAATTCCCATCGAATTCCAATCCCATTCAATCCCAATCCCAATAACCCATCCAATCCTCCAAAAACCTCCTACAGAACAACCAAAATGGAAGACCCAGGTCCGTCATCCCACCCCACCCCATCTATACAACCCAACCCAACCCAAAACCACCACCCAACTAACAAATACATACTACAATCGAACAAAACAGCCACCGAAATCCCCACCATAATCCACCACCTGACCCAATCCCCCCCAGAGGACCAACAACGCACAATCCAAAAATACTTCACTCCCAGCGCAGCCTTCACCCACCCCTTCTGCCGGGTGCCCCCATACCCCGGTAGTCGGTGGCTAATCGAGAAAATCTACCAATGGTATAAGATCATGTCACCGCGGATAGAGCTAGAGGTGCATTCAGTGGGTGAGTTACCCCATATCCCTCCCCCCCAATCCCAATCCCAATCCCATACTAACAGAAGGGAGAAAGCATACGACAAACCCACCCAAAAACTGTACCTCCAAATCTCCCAAATCTTCTCTATCTGGGCGATACCCTTCCACCAGGCCCCCGTATCCCTAACCACAGTTCTGGATTTAACTACAGACCCGGCAGATAATCGGACGCCGACGAGTGGGCAGGGAAAACGGTATTATATTAAACGGCAGGAGGATTTTTATCAGCCGGAGGAGTTTGTCAAGTTTGTGATGCCGTGGGGGGCCGCGTGGGTGGTTTTTGTCTGGCAGGTGATGGCGACGGTGGGGTGTGTGTTTGGGGTGGTGGTTTTTTGGCCGGTTTTGTGGTTGGAGGGGAGGGGGGTTGTGGGGGATGCGAGGAGGGATGTTAATGGGGGTGAGAGTGGGAGGGGGGAGAGGAAGAAGAAGGGGGGTTGGATTGGGTTGTGAGAGGATGAGGATGAGGATGGGGTTGGAGATGGTTGTATATATGGGTGAAGGGGGGCGTATATGATACCCGTGGGATGTGGTGGGTTGAGGGGTAATTCGCCTGCAGGGTCGGATAGTACTCTGGTTATATATTTGGTGAGTTATACATGGACTCGGCATATTAATATAGCAGGGGCAGTTATGGGGGTATGTGATAGAATCCCGCTGCTGAGTCTGTAATTGAGATGACGTTAATAGAATGAGTATGTCAGTGTATATAACTATGATTCCAATGAACAGGAGACTTAATATACAACAATGAATACAACGCAGTCTATGCCAGAGGTTGCATAACCAATGACATATTCTGCATGCTTCTGTCCATTCAACTCAGCCAGGTAACATTCCATGAATAATCTTTTTTGAAATAAACACCTAAAGGTGTGCTGCATGCTTCAACCACAATGCCAATGAAACTGGAAACAACATGAAGATAGATAGATATACATGTAGTTGTCTTCCTCCAGGAACACTGACTGATGTAAATACCTTTTGAACCCCACTCCACCCACTTTCTTGTATGTGACATTCCAATTTATATTGATGTTGATCCACAACCAACATAAGTAGTAATGTAATCCTGTATCCGATCCTCCAAACCACCAATTCACAAGTTGCTTCAGCCAATCAAATTCCCCAACAGCAATCAAAAATATATTGAGAGTTCGTTCGCAAGTCTTCCTTCGTCCACCCGTCCACCCAGACAGATGGAATAGAAGAAAAAAAAGATGGTCCCAGAGGGGCTCGAACCCTCGACTTTAACGTTATTAGCGTTACGCTCTAACCAACTGAGCTATGGGACCCTGTTGATATCTACGGGTTGTACATAGTGCCATATATACCAAAAGTAAATGTCACACACCTTCTTTCCATCAGACATATATCCATATAGTCTTACTCTCGGATTTGAAGGTATTGAATGAATTCACAATACCATTCCATTTTACGATACTATACAATCTCATCAACATGATAAGTACCAAGTGGTTGATCCATTCTATCATATTACAAGGTGATCTTTAGGAGACTTTATACATACTACTTCACAAGAAGAACCTAAGTGGACGCCGCTAGTTAAACACATCCAACCCAACAAGATAATTAATAAAATTATTCACTACGCCAGCACACCGATACACCCATTATCACAATCAAGTAATCAATAAGTATAGATCAAGCAGACCTCAACCAAGGATCATCCAACAATTCCCTAGCCGAGGCTCTTTCCTCAGCCTTCCATGTGAGCATCTTGCGGAGGAACCGCAAGAATAATTGCTGTGATTCACCCGACAAGTTCCCTTCCAGCATCTCCAATGATTCAGTAGGAATTTTGATGTCTGCTTTCCAGTTTCCTATTTTATTATCAGCAACCAACCAAACAGACAACCAAAAAAAGGAATTAAAAAAAGGTTCCAGAAAGCAATACCTTCACCATCAAAAAACTCCACCGCATATTCACTCCCCCGTATCATTTCCCTCGGCGGCAACCCCACAATCCCAACCATTTCAGCAAGATGGTGTCCATCAGAAGGTTTCCTGTTCAGATCTCTCCCGTAGAATAAATGGCTTTGTTGGAAGAGATCCCAAGTCTGTGCCTATTGTCAGTTCCATAATCCCTTACTAACAATAACGCAAACAGCCAACAAAAAGCCAAAACAAAAAAGGGAGGACGGAAGAAATACCAGCACGCCAACATTCCAAACATCCACCTTTTCATTCCACGGTAATCGCAAAACCACCTCCGGAGCACGGTAAACCCAAGGTTGGATATCATCGGAATAAGTATGCGATCCGAAGCGAGCCTGACCGAAATCGCATAGCGTAGGACGACCATGTTGCTTGGTTTTCTTCAGTTTGCGAGAAGCATAGATCATGCGATCGTCGTCGAGGATTTTTCGTGGGCTGGGATGGGATTTCTCTTGTTCTTCGAAGTCGGTTAGGATTGATGGGTCTTCGATCGCCATCATGATGTTCTTTTCTTGAATATCTGTAGTAAAAGAAATAGAAGAAGAGACTTGGTTAGAGAATCCACCCTGAAGATAGAGAAAGACAGATCACATCATACCCGTATGAACAATCCCAGCCTCGGTATGAAGATAATCAAGTGCAAGAAGAAGATGCACCAGAGTCAACTTGACGATTTTTTCCGGAAGAACTTTGGCTCGAAGTTGAGTGCGAAAATCATATAACCTCATGCCCAGGGGCGGATGAATAAGGCACCCGAAATTGCCATCTGGGGATGTGATCTGGAAGCTTGTGATATAGAAATTACTGAAGATATATTAAAAGATCTTGTTCAAAGAAAAAGATATATTTATGATAATTTAGTCCCTTCGCCCCAGCGGGGCGACGATAAAAGTGTCCAATGCTTTACGGATGAGTTTGGCACCAGCATGGTCTACTATGTTAAGGGAATTCAAATGGGCATAGGCTTCTGTTTCTCTTTGGCCTTCGGCTGAATTGCGCTCAAATACTTTCAGTGTAACATAAGCATGCTGCCTACCAATAACAAAGTGAGTTAGTAGTAATTTATTTCAGGCTGAACGGCTTGATTAATTGATTGGATTGTAGGGTAAGTTAAGCTGACTCACTGGAGGTCCCTACAGAGCCAAACGGTCGAATAGCCGCCATATCCCAATTTACCAACCACCTGATACCGAGATTGAAATACCTCACCGATTTTCACGGGATAAAAGTTTCGCGGCGAGTACCATGACAGGGATTCTTCCTCGAGTTTCTCGGCTGGATCGAGGAGAGGAAAGTTTGATTGAGAGAACGCGCGTACGGGTGATGCATGGCGATGGGCCCAGGAACGCCAGGGAGATATTGCCCTGGAAAATCGGGATGGTAGCCGGAGTATTGATGCCATGGGGAGAAGCGTGGGGGATTGCTACTGCAGAGGATCAGGGTAACGCGATCTTATGTAGGACAGGTAAATACGGCTAATGCAGGAATGACTCAGCAATGGATATCCTGTCTGTTTCAAGAACGTACAGACAGGATGTAGATGGGCTTGGATGGATGTGATCTGGAGTAGTATTTGTAATATTACTTAGTAATTAATCCAAGTTTTCTACATAGGTAGGCTTGCAAGTAATACTTCCTACTACGGATCTGGACGTAAATTATTACCAAGTAAAACCCAGACATTGCTGCATGCCCATCAGACCGATCTTTACAGGAATGAGTCTTAAAACAGCGGTTCTAAAAGTCTCAAAGAGGAAGATACGGATCTATGGTATGAGATGGTCCTCTGACAAGGCGCAGCTGGTATTATATCAGAGAGCTCATGATACACATAAATAATTATCATTATTCTTGAAACCAAGAGTGCGAGAGTAAATCTTCCACGCCATCTCGATCATCCGGCCTCCACCGCAACATCCTTGATACTAAATTAAGAAAAACCTGTTTATCATTCCCATCGATATCACAAAAAATACCATCAAGTCCTCCACTCTGTGGGATTAACTCGGGGTATTTAAACCTTCCTATACGTACCAGCATCAGCCATTTTCCAACATCATCAAGAGAAAACACTACCTTCAGGATCAAAATACCGAGAAGTGTGTTTTGCCCGGCAAAGCATATCCACGGGCGGAGGACCAAGGATTGATATTGTGCGGGCTAGATGTTTCTCATCAGAGAATGAAGAAGTATTTGATTCTGATTCTGATGAATCAAAAGGTCCCTTTCCATTTACTAAATCCAAAAACTAGTTCATTTGATACGTTACTTAGGAGGATCTTTGGGATAAAATGAGAAGACACGTACCAAGACAGCCAGATTCCAAATATCAGCACTGTAAGTCCAACCCGCCCCGAGAATCACTTCAGGGGCTCGGTATTCATCGGGTTGAATGAGATGAGTATGGCTCTGAGGTCCACGCACGGATAGTCCGAAATCAGTGATGACAGGTCTTCCTAGATCTTTTACCTCTAAGCTGAAATGGTTCCTTGAGAGATATATCGTTCGATCAGGGAGATGCTTCTGAGGGAGAGGGGCGCTCATCTCATCCTGAGAAACTTTATCAAGTACAGACGGGTCTCGAAGAGTCATGAGGATATTGTCCTGTTTCAGATCTTGCAGTTCGATCAGTAGGTTTCTCGTTTCAACCAGGGGAATAAATACCTGTATGAACAACACGACACTGAGAGTGAAGATAGCAAAGTCCTTCTAGTAGCATTCTTGCAACAGGTTTCAGTACATCCAACGGGAGCACATCCCCCCGGAACCGCTGTTTCAACATCCAAAGCGGCTCACATAGGGGATCAAACACCATACAGACATGAGTGCCATGGGGACCTGACAAGATAAAAGAATCGAGCAACGCGCTGATGAAGTTCCAGCCCACATGCTTAGGATTCAGGCGACTAATATGCTCTGTAATCCGTAGATCTTTTTCGGCGTCTTCTGTGGTCGCGTAATTGTTTGCCTTGATTTTGACAGCAACGTAGCGTGGTTGGCGCCAGCGCCATCTAGTACGTTGATTAGTTTCTACGAAGGTAACTGGGATGGGTTGAATCATACTGTTGTAAGTCGCGAGCCAACCACACAGTTGAGCTGGTTCCCCAGCCTAGTTTTGCGGTGATTTGGTATCTGTTGTTGAGGAGTTGGTAGAGACGGGCAGGGTAGAAATGCTGGTGGCTGTAATGAGGAGTGCATTCTTCTTCGAGCGGTTCGGTTGCTGGGAGAAGTTTTATGGGTGGATTTGGTGGTTTGCATGGGGTTGATTTTAGAAATCTGGGGAGTGATATTCTCCATAAGTTTAGGGTTGGGGTCATTTTCCAACATGAGGGTGTATTCCTGAGAGGTCATGGGTGGTTGTGGTTGAGAGGGCCTTAATAGAATGCTTGGCTAAGCACGGACTATATGTAAGGAACGGTCATGTCATTGTATTTGGCGACCTTCTCGGGATTCTTCCAGTAATGTGGAGTGACATGAATAAAAAGGCGGCGCGACTGACACAGGTTCCATAGACTGACTGGATTATGCCAGCGTCAAATTATTGGGTAAATGCGATCTGATAATCCTTTAATATTACACTCAGGTCGCCATCTACAGATTGTTTTGTATACGTGACCCGATTTAGGTGGTGCGGGCGTGTTTTTCTTCAAAATGGTATGGTAAGCCCAATACAGCTAGATTATACTTCTTAGAGCTGTTCAATGTAAGTAGGTCTGCGACAATAGCAGATATCTACACCATAATCACTTCAACCACTCCCCAACCCACTTGAATACCCACTCCTCTTTAACACCCTCCACACCCCTCAACAACTCACTCTTCTCCGCTGTAATCCTCGTATCCAACACAATCCCATTCCCATTCCCACACCCCTTCTCCCTATCACTCTGCATCCCCACAACCTCCTCAAAGAAATCCAACAACTTCGCAGCAGGGTTCTTCTCCAACAGAGCTTGCAATTCATTCTCATCTAGTTTACTAGTACTATCGGTTGCATTCTCCACGTCGTGACGAATACGCTGTACCCACTCGCGGACAGGGATTATTTCCAGACTGTTTCCTTCCACACCTGAGGAGGTAAGAGAGGGAGAGTGTTGGACGAGTGCGTCCGCGATAACAGGTCTGATATCGTTCCATGTCTTGGGGTGCAGGTTGATAGGATGGTAGACTTTTACTTCTCCTTGAGCTTCGGTGGTATCCTTAGGGATGGCTAGATCGACGAGAATCTCAGCCAACAAATCAATAGGAACCCAATCGACGCGATCCATAGTCGGTCCGAGGGCATCAGGTAAAGCGTTAAGGTGTAGTGAGCTAAGAACCAGACTCGGGAACCATTCAGCCTTGGACCACAGACCCGGGGAACGGACCGGGCCGGCGATTTGGCCGACGCGGGCGATAGCAGGATGGAAGCGGGGCGAGTGGCTGGCTGCGTAAGCGAGGAGATGTTCAGCGAGGTATTTACTATTAGCGTAGGCGTTTGGAGCCGGGGTTGTGGTGGTGATGATGGATTCCGGGGTGAGGCCTGTGGGAGTGGTATGGCCGATGGTGGAGCTCATGGAGGAGATGTAGAAGAGGCTGGGGGAGTGTTTGGCGGTGGTGGTGAAGTTGATGAGGTTGATGAGGCCGGTGAGGTTGGGGATGAAGGATGGGAGGGAGAGGTTGAAGTTGACGGTCCAGGCATTGTGGATGATGAGGGTGGTGGTGTTTTGGAGATGGTGGAGGTCGGATGCGGGCAGGCCGAGGTTGGGTTTGGTGAGGTCGGTGGTTAGGAAGTGGACTTTGGAGGGGGGAAGGGGGGTTAGGGTGTGGGTGTGGGATTGGGCGTTGGGGTTGCGGTTCAAACAGTAGATGTGCTCGATGGTGGGGGTGTTGAGGAGGGTGTCGAGGAGGTAACTGCCCAGTTGGCCGGTGGAGCCGGTGAGGATGACAGTGTGGGATTGGGATTGGGGGATGGGTTCGGTGGT